GGACATAAACAATGTGAATTTAAACAAGCTTCGATTCTGGAAAGAATTGTAGACAGTTCTTCTAATGTAAATTTGAAGTTCTTAGCTTGCTTACGAAAATGCAATTTAAAACTTTTTACAGCGGCCTCCCATAAGCCATCCATATGGGGCGCCAGCGGAAATAAATTGCTATGAAGGTTCTTGATATTGCAGTGTGGAGCACAAGTTAATACGACTTTCATGAACATGTTTTACATTAAGTAATGGTGGTTTTAATAAGCGATGTGAGTCATGGGACCCAATATTCAATTCTAATGAAGCGTAACATCAGTTGATTCCCAATGATGCGTAACACAATCTTTCTGTGTAAGACAGGGTAGGTGATTGCGACAAGCATCCATTACACCTGATTTTTCCGAATTTGCCCAGAATGGATTTCTAGAGCCTTATTTAACAAAGAGAAACCTTCTAAGGGGTCCCAATAATTATTGAAAAAAAGAGGCATGAGTCTTGTCCGCACGCATTTCAATTTCTGTATCAAGCAGAGAAAATTGGATAAATCGGAATGACAACTATTTTGATGTAGAAAATGTCATGCCACCAAATATTAGAGAATGTGAGTTCGGAAGGCAAAACCAATGGATTACCTTAAGAGCGCACGTGATGCCAATTACCTGCGTCTGTACTCTCCTGAATTTTGTTAACACGGTTGGCAACAAATGTCGTGCACACAGATGGACTTTTGTTGAGTTGAGTTGTTAGAATCAGTCTAACAACAGATTTTTTTAAATGAAATTGTCAATTTCATCTATAATATTTTTTAATAATATGGAGGTCGAAACGGCTCGGCAAAGTTCCAACCGTGGTAAAGAAATTGTCTTACGGGGGACTACCATAGTTTTGCAGGTCAAGAGGTGAAGTATCAGAAAGGACATGAAGTTCGGTGGAACAACTTGGCGTATAATGGACCCACCGAGGAACTTGAATGGAATTCACATCCGTTCCGGACAGAGGTGCATCATCCCAACCGTTTTTATTTGTCCAGATCTTCTCCACCTGTTTTATAATTATGACTTATAAAATAACCTAAAGGATGGAATCGTTTCGAAATAATGGACAAAGTTGTTTTTCTTCTTGTAGTGACATTTTTTGAGCACTTACACTAAAGTAAAATGAATAAAGCTGAGCATTCCAACGCATACCTAACGTTTGAGAACTGCTAGCTCCCATGAAGGCAAAGGAATTTTGGCACATATTTAGTCTTCCGTAGGAAGATTTTGCAAAATAACACGGTGAAGAGCAGTCCACTTCGCCAAGAGATCTTAATTCATCACGAGAATTTAAAGCTCTACGCAAGTCGTGATATCCTGTCGCAAATATAAATAATCTCCTAATAAGGTACCGTTTATAATTTGCCTCACAAAACTGGTCGGAATTTCCTCTAGTTCCTAAAAACGAAGAAAAGCCTTGTTAAGGTTTTCTTAGTCAGATAGACAAAATTTAACAGAAAAGACTGATAGATGTTGAGGAAGAATAGAATTAGCAATGATCCAACCAAAGGCCGTATTTTGTGCTATGGGGGAGCCTAATATATCTATAAAGATCTGCTTCCAGCAAAAGGTCAACAGGGCGACTGTTGAACATTAGACGAGCAGAAAGGTAGACCTGAAGAATATAAGGTTGATTTGGAGTATCTACATTCCTAATTGCAGAAGGTGCTGCAGTCGAAGACGTGGAATTATCTCTATGTAATAGAGTGTGATGTCTCTTATTACATTTACTACAATTGTACGGACCACTGCAGTGGATTACTACATGTTTAGGGACATTCGTAAAATGTGAACGAACTACTACTAGTCTCACTATTTAATACTGGTAGGTCAAATAAAAGTTTAAGTTTGTAGTTCACCAAATACTTGTATTGTCATACGTTTGTAGTAAAGCTTTCCACCCAAGAGCAAAGTTTTTATAAGTAATTGAAAACTTAGCCATAATATCATGGTCGTGGCCACTGGTCCTATTGTTTAACTGACATAGGCTTTCACTAATGCCAGTATTGTAAAAGTATGCTGCCGAGAATAAGTCTCTAAATGTAGGTCAAGAAAAAAAGTCGTCATTAAATATTTCTATACCATAAGGCCCTAAATTCAACGTATGGCCAGAATTATCACCAAAATTGAAGCTCTATCATCGGAGCCCGAAGTTCATCCAACTTCCTGTTAATGGAAACTAAAACTAAACATCTAAATGCGACATCACATTTACTCTCAGTGGCAGTGATGTCCTGTCTTCATTAGCAAAATAATTAAGAAAACGATTTCCCCATTTCCCATAACGCTCTGACCTCAGCTCCCTATAATTGGAAAATATAGACATCGAGCTCGTCGTCCCGCCTGTGTGGTGCACGAACTGCAAGGTGCACGTTATCAATCGGTAGCGGACAAGAACAAATTCAATTCAAAACGTCTGATATTTTATATTATGTTTACATAAAAATAATATTATTTTAAATAAGTGAAAAAACAGTAAGTTCGGCCGGGCCGAACTTTGAATACCTTCCACCATTTGGAACAAATTTGGAAATTTTCAAAAAATAAAATCCGTTAAAAATTCTGTTAAAATCTTAAAAATACCGAATATAGCCGTTATTGGGGTCTCTACGACGTAAACCTATATAGACTTTGTTTGTCATTTGAAATTTGTACCGTTATATCGACGCTATACAAGGACCTGGACCTGCATAGACAATTTTTTTTTTCTGTCACAGGCTGTAGCATCCATTACGAACTTCAAATACGACATCTCAAACAATTTCGGTGAGTATTGTAGCTTAAATCGTCAAAATACCAAATATAGGGAGGTACTGATATATGGGATCTATACGAAGAACCGGACCTGCATACACAATTTTTTGTCACAGACTATAGGTCCCATTACGAACTCTAAATACGTAATTTGAAACTACTCCGGTGAATAGTGATGCTAAAATCATCAATATACAGGAAATCGGGAGGTACCGTTATATGGGGGCTATATGAAGACGTGGACCTGCACAGACAATTTTCTGTCTCAGGCTGTAGTATCCGAACTTCAAACAGAACAGACAGACACACGGACATCGCTAACTCGACTTAGAATTTTTCGCTGATCAGGAATATTGATACTTTGAAAATATTATTCCTGAAGTGGACCAACATATGATTTTTCTAATTTTGTAGTCTGTATGAAAATATCCATTTTCAACGCAATATTTTACTTTGTTTAAATGTTGTGAATGATCGATTAATATTTTTTGATAGTCTAGCTTGGCTTTTCGTTTTGTTTGTGTTGGAGTTAGTTGAACCAAAATTTGCCTATAGAAAACACCCAACGTACCAAAAATACAATACAGCTTGATAATATTTTAAAAATATTTTGTCATAACAATTTTTTAACAATTGGGAAACACTTATATTGCACCAACTTTTCTCAAATTTGACGACGAATTTGCTTTGATTTTTGTAAAAATTTGTCAGCTAAAAATTGTTTTCTTTTGGTAAAAGGCATAATCACGCGAGTTTAGGAACCATTTCCGTACCGAATTCTTAAGGTAATAAATAATATATCTGGAAATCCGTGGTATACCTTATTTCAATCTCATTTCAGATTGAAGGCATCAAAAAATTGCAGGAAAGTGAAGTATTAGTAGAGGAGATGCATAAGCTCAAATAAGGACGTCTTCGACGTCTAGATATCAAGGCCATAGGCACAGCTGGCATGGCCATTAGTGAATAAAATGTGTAAACTAGTGAAATAAATGTGTAATGCTAAGAAATATGTACGAAAACCAAAAACCATATGTACGAAAACTAAAAATTCTATTTGTCTTCCATTTGGCTTGCAAATGGAAGAAAAAGAAGCTTGCTGAAAAGGCTAATTATTAATGTATTTTTACTTCTTTTAATTTTTCGTAGTTTTTTTTTCAATTTGACGTGCTCTATTGAAATATACATTTTTTATTGTTTAAATTCAGAACGAAATATGGAGAAAATTAAATTAATGCACATCACAATGTTAAGTAGTGTCCTTTCCTGACTAGAATTGGCATCTAGCTTTCAAAACCCAGGCCTTACATCTTGCTTCAGCTGGAACATGCGAACACTTTCAAACAAACAAAAATGGCCGACACAGCAGTATGGGGTTCATATCAAAATGTGGATCTACTTCTTTTATATGACAATAATCCATCTAATGAGAACACAAAATGCGCAATTCATTGGGGCTCCAATCTGTGCAATACCGAATATGAAGAGGCACTTTATATGCGGATTATACAAAACAGTTGAGCGAATTGAAAATATTGTAAGAAAAGAATTCATATCAACCAAAAATTCTCCGAACCTTTAAAGATACCTTAACCTTACTTAAAACTGCAGGTACCTTTATACGGGGACTATGCGCTATCGTTAGTAATTACACTGCGCAACAGACAATCTTGGGGATGGAAAATTTTAAGTGAATAGTATTCGGTTAGTAGGTAAAAAATCCAAAGAAATTTTGAGTTCCCAGGGCAAACTTTTTTAGTGCCCATTATATAGCTCGGTTAACATGAAGGGCCCAAATATTTTTGCTCTTTACTCCGCAAAAGTTACGGTAGAGTTTTAAATTTGATACAGTCCTATGGGTTGCATTTAGAATCATTTGAACAAAATATGAGTCAGGTCGGTCTACGTTTTGATATTGATATAGAGTTTTTAAAAAGAAGAAAACATTCTTTCAAAAAATTATAAGTGTAGGGCAACGTTCAGCTGACAAAGTATCCGCTGTTTTTAGCTGTTTCCGCGGACTTGGCCACATTTTCAAGTGATTTGGCCCTTATTTGGCATATTAGCTTATAAGGGGGTAGAAGACCTCTTGTACCCCCTCATTAGCTTATATTCCAAAGTAAAGTTAAGTATAAAGTTAGATTCTCGATTTTCGTGTTTCGAAGTTTACACACACACATACAGTTTATTGGTACGATAATTTGTCATTACTTTCAGATGGCATCATTAGCTGCTACAAATTGGCCAAAACCACTTGTACTTGTTCCATGCCTTTCTTGGTCTACCGCATCAACAGTTTTTACAACGGTAAGTCTTAATACTTTTAATCAATAATATGACAAATTAAATAAATTCTATAGTAAATGAATAGATTTTTCTAAACTGTACGAAAACATTAAATACTCTACATCAGAAGTTTGGCAATTATATGTTGAAATGAATTTACATTTACGGCTTTGACAAATGATTGAAAATAAAATGTTTCTTTTAAAGTCCCAACTGGAACACAAAATATAAGTTTGGTGCCATTCGAAGTTTCATTATATGACATTTGAACAATTGTTATTTTTGTTAGTCGAATGTACGAAGTTAGTTTAAAGAGAGCGCTACACGAATGAACAACGCATTCTTATTGTGAAATTATTTTTTGGTCACAATAATGATGCCAGCGTTTTGGAGACCAGAATTAGCCGCCAAGATAGTGCGTTTTAACACTTTTAGTCTATGGTTTATGCGAAAAAGCTGCATTAATGTAAAACGGTCATTGAAAGATCGGGTGTGTACCAGAAAAGCTGTCTAGATACAATAAACTTTCACGATTTTTTAATATCTGTGTTTCACTTAATTCTTTAAAATTACGTTCTATTTGGCCACCCTTTATTTGGCTACCAAAACCATCAGGTTTGTTTTTCCAATAAAATTGTAATAGTCAATTTTCTTTAGGCACAATTCTAGCATTTGAGCTTTTCTGTAGAAATTGAACATACAGTATGTCACATATTACTTTACACACTCTAATCTATATATAGATCTCTCCTGTCCGAAAAGAAAAATATACAAAAAATCGCGTGAAAATGTGATATATGAACATTTTCATTTTGACTTTTGAAATGTACAATAGTAATGTTTTATTTTGCATGATTTTTTTCCATTTTGACTTACTTTTTTTCTACATTGTACACTTATAGTGTTTTTTATATTTTATTTTTGAATTTTTTGAATTCGAATATTAATACCAATTTATTTAATTGACTTGATTTCTTGAGAATTGAAGTTGATGGCGGGTTACATGGAAGTGTAGTACCGAATTATGTGGTGGCGGAACGGAATAGATGATATCGAAATAATTTAACGCAGTCACACCAAAGTTAAAAGATAATTACTTTTCAAAATCGCTAAAAAATCACGAAAAAAGAGATCTCATTGCAAAAATTCTCAAATCGGGAAATATCGAAACAAATTTTCAATGGAATTGAATTTTAAAATAATAGTACATTCTGTGACAAACTTTGTAAGGATCTTTAAACAGTTGCTGTAAAAAATCAGCGAACAAATTGAAGATTTTTTTTTCAATTTGTTATTCTTCTTTTGTCAATTTTTTCCAATTTGTATTATCATATTAAATTCAGTGGATTTTTTGTAAACAAAATAAAGAATAATTTTTCACTATATACAATTTTTCACCAAATAATGAAATAAGTGCGAAATACGATGTTAACTGACATCTTCCTTTCAACTCCAAGGCCTACATCGTGCTTCAGCTGGAAGATTCGCACACATTAAAACAAACAAAAATTACCGAAAAAGCCTTATGGGGCTCATTTCTATGCGTGGACCTACTTCTTTTATGTGACAATAATCCGTCCAATGAGAGCTCAAAATACAAAATTTTTTGGGAGTACAATCAGTAAAATACCAAATATAAAAGGGTGCAAAACAGTAGAGCGAATGGGACTTTAGTAAGAAAAGGATTTCTATCCTTCCAGAAATTCTTCCCAAACATTAAAGATACCTTAAATCGCTTTTGCAGGTCATGATATCTATCATAACTCACGGATAAGGGTACAACCCGATTTCATATTTATATAACCATTGTATGATTTAAGCTATTTTTAGAGTCTTCGACACTTTCTTCTATTTTTAGACCTTATTTGATTTGGCCTCTATTTGTCATCATGGATTATAAGGGGTAGAAGAAAGTTTTCAATGTAGGTCGATGTTTCGGAGTAGTGCCTATATAAAGGTACCTCCTGATTTGACCATATTTCAAAGGATTTGGCTAAAAACGTGTATTTGGGGTGTTTAACTCAGGGGAGTGGGGAGAAGCCTTCGATAACGGCAACGACAACGATACTCCCCAGAGTTATTATGATGTGAGGTGAGGTGTTGTGTAGGTGAGAGATGAGGGTGGTTCGCGCGTGTGGTGTAAAAAGAAAGAAAATAGCAAAGAATAAAACACAACACGAGAATTAGTATAGACAATATAAATTCATAGTTTTATTCGTATTCTCTCTTTTCGTATAAACAATCAAAATTACGTTTATGTAATTTGGGGTGGCGACAGAGGCCTGTGTGCTTTCGCTTTCGTTTCTCAAAAACAAGTGAACGCAGAGGTTCTAAGTGATCGCAGAGGATCCCTTGTCTATTTCTAATACATATGCAAATACAGACAAGTGAACGCAGAGGTTCTGAGTGACCGCTGAGGATCCCATGTCTGTATATTATTACAACTACAACTACTTCCAAGGAGAGCAAGGTGAGCCTACCGCCAACAACCAATACCCAGCGGCGATCCGCTCACTACGGTATCCGCCAAGGGAATTGTAGAGGAGATGCCAGTGTGCCAATCAGCATCCGTGATTGACGAGTATTGGAAAGTTGTGGTGGAACGTATGGAACTTATACATTCCGGCCCCCTTGCTAGAACTACGAGTCTAGCAATCTATATAAAGTTATTAGGAAGGAACATAAATTCAGATTCCTAAGTGAGCTATAGTTGCAGATTTTCCAATTATCAAACCGATATGGCGAATTATCGATAGATTCGGTCTACAATTTCAATCTTTAGCGCAATTAATTTTTTTTTAGCAAATTTCGACTATAAATAATACGATTCTTTTCTAAATTGGTCGATTTCAATTCTTGATGCAAAGATTAGGTTACAGTCGCGGGAGGTACAGAACCGGTAAGGATATACCCGAAAATAGACTTTTGGGCCAGCAAGGAATCCAAAACTATTTTTGGAGGTTCAGCTTCTAAAATTTTAGGATACAAGTCAGCGCCAAGTAGCAAATCTATTGGGCTATTATCGAAAGAATCCGCTAAATCAAGATTAGGAATTCGAGTCTTTAAATTTGTCATGGGTGGGAGAGAAAACAATTTCCCGGTGACATTAGGCCTGACTAAAACTCTAGTTTCGACTATTCTAGATGAATTTTTTGGAGAAGACAGCTGAAGAGAACAAACTTCTCTTGGTGCAACAGTTTTGGAGCGAGTAACCTCAGAGCGAGTTAAAATGCCAAGTTTATTTTTAAGTTTTTTATTAACGATTGATGCCTTAGAAGAAGGGTCTACAATTGCACGGGTAGTGTAAGATTTACCATTATGAACAATGTTTACCGGTGCAGTTCCCAAGAGCACATTTTCCTCAATGGTGTTGGGAGACTGACTGAATTATGTTTTGCAGAGAGAGGGCTTTGGATCTCGACTTTTGACCTTCGTAAAAGCCGGAGGGGTCTTTGAACCTCGACTTTTGACCTTTGTAAAAGCCGGAGGGGTCTTTAAACATCGACTTTTGACTTTGATAAAAGCCAGAGGTAAAGTCTGTTTGTGCATCGAATCTCGACTGTTGACTGAAGTACAAGCCGGAGAGGATTCCTTAGATTGCACACTGTGTGTTTGTGAAGACAGGAAAGATTTAAGATTTGCAGATACCTGAGATTGTTCTGAACAAAGTGATCCAACAAAACGACTAATTGGCCGGTGGAGAAGGCTGTGGTGCCGTTGATTGCAAGATTTGCAACTATTGGTACTTCGACAATGTTTAACTACTTGGCCACGAGAAAGACAATTTATACAACACTTATTCTTTTTCACAATTAAGAATTTGTCCTCAAACGAAAGTTGTATAAACTGTGGACAAAGTCGGAGAATATGACTTTGGTTAGGACAAATTGAGCAATAAGCGTTTGGCCGAGGAGGAGGAGCAACACATTCTGACTCATGTACCAATGACTTTTTAATAACTAAACTAGATGTACGAACATGCGTGGATGCCAACGATCTAGTGGGGGAGTGATGAGGTGAAACACTGTTTGACGATAACGATTTCTTTGCAGGCCTGGGAGGATGAACATTCTTTGGCCACAATGATTTAGTAGATAGAATAGGAGAGGGGGCTATTTTGGGCAAGTACTTTTCCATGGACTGATTTTCCTGTATGCTCTGAATACACTGCAAAGTTTGTATTCTGTTTGTGAGGAAAGCATCTAAATCTGGCCAGGAAGGCAACAACGACTTATTTTTGATGCTTTGCTCCCACAAAGTCAAGGTGGTTAAAGGCAAGCGCTGCAAACAGATATGTACAAGAATTGGATCCCACTGATCCGTGGCGACGTCATAGACGGCCATTGCAGCAAGACAACTATTTATTCCTCACCGGTAGTCTTCCGCCTAAGATAGCAGAGACGTTCTATGTTTAAAAGGCGTGTATTATTTACATACAGAGTGGTGAACAAATCACGAAATGTAGGCCAAGAGACAAATTCACCATCAAATACTTCGATATCTAGAGTTGGCAACAAGTAACTATGATAATCGAAAGGTGGATTGGAGCACATATTACTGACAGAAGATTTGGAGCGAGCACTAACGGGTGGAGAAACAGACTGCACAGAAACCGGTTCGACGAGACTGGCCAAAATTTGCTCGGAAGGGGGTGTTCTATTAGTAATATCAGGCGAAGATCTGTTTTGCACACTAGAACTGGAAACAGTTGAGGAATGAGGAGCCACAGCAGAAGAACAATGATCATTGTTTGGAGATTTGAGGCGATCAAGGTGCTTGTTTATGGTGGTCAAACACCAATGGTAAGCAATAAATGAATTATTGTATTTATCCTCAACGACATCAATAGTTTCAACCTGTGCAGTCTCGGATGCCGTGAGGTAATTTTTACACTCAGTATAAGTGTTCTGAACCTTTTCCCATAATTTTCGAATCTCAGAAAGACGAATTTCGAGGCTATAAATAGTGAACTGTGTGGCATCAATTTGTTCGAAATATTCTGCACTCCTCACAACAATGTC